TTTTTGTAAATTTCATATTAAAATATTTAAAATTTCCAGCTTCAGCCATTTCCAGCTTCAGCCACGACAATTAATATTAATTTGTTTCATTATGTTAATAGAATATACTAATAAAAAAATGCTTAAATGTCTATAAATTTTTAGCTAGTCATAAATCAAATGAATGTTTATTTGGTGCATGGGAAGACAATTGAAGAAGAAAAGAAGCGAACTAAATTATTGACTGATTTAAATTATCAAAAAGTCGCATTTTTTCAGGGAATTAGTCACGAGCTAAAAAGTATTGTTTCAAAGTTTTATAATAAATAGCATTAAAAATATTTCGTATAATATTTCGTATAAATGTTTGGTATAAATGTTTTGTATAAATGTACTTAATTTTTTTTTATCATAAATAACAGCACCATTAACCTTAATGCTCTCACCGCTTGACGACGTAATTAATGTGTGTCCACAAGAAGCGTCAATAATGTCATATCTTCAAACAATAAGACGTAACGCCCGTCGATTACTTAAACTTATTAATACTTTATTACAAGTAAGTTATAAACCTACAATTACAGTATCATGGTCTTCAATAATAGTAAATATAATAATTTTGAAAACTAATCATAACAATTATTGAATATATATACTACTTTATAGTTTTCAAATCTTGAAGCTAATCAATTAGAAACAAATTTTCGTGAAACAAATATGGTTGAATTTACTCGTGAATTAGTTTCTGATTTTAAAAATATGGCTAAAACGTTAGGTTTGGATTACAATATCGATATTCCACATTCCGGTGAATTTGATCAAACAATAGGTGATAAGATTTATTTGGATCACGATATGTATGAAACAATTGTATATAATCTTTGTAAGTGTTTCTAAATATATATATATATATATGCCAAAAAAATTATGTTTTTTTGAAATCGTATTCATTATAACACATATACTAAATATTTTGCTTGTTAAAAGGTTCTAATGCAATAAAGCATACTTGGAATGGTTGCATAACCGTTCGCTTATGTCTTGGCTACAAAGACAATAAAAAGATGGCTGTTCTTGAAGTTTCTGATACAGGTTAATAATATATTTTATAAGCTTATTTGCATTAAATTTGAATTGAATATAAATTGAATATGGAGTATATTTCTATATTCGGATTGTTTACTTTAAATCTAGGTGTTGGTATTCCAGAAACCGCCCTTCCAAATATATTCCAACGTTTTTATCGTGTAGAATCTCAAGGTTCACGTAGTCATGAAGGCACTGGAATAGGACTTGCTCTTGTCAAAGAATTTGTTGCATGCCATGGTGGAGTTATTACTGTAAATTCAATAGTAAATCGTGGAACGACGTTTAGATGTTGGTTTCCAATAGGATGCAAACACTTACCAACAAATCAAATACATATTAATAACGTTGAAAATCCAATAGATAGTTCTCGAAAATTATATACTAATCGACAACTTTATTTAGAAGAAAGTTCTCAATGGATAAAACATAGTGCTTCTGAATCTCAATATGAAATAACAAATCAAGCATCAATCAATGATCGAAACATGGATAATGATAATAATAAGATATTAGAAAAAGGTGATGTTGGTGACAAATATCACGTTTTAATTGTTGATGATAATAATTATATGAGGTAACATTTTCTTTATTTAATAAATTAATCATTTTATAAGTTGTTCCTTATCATTTTCCGTGTTTATAGAGATTATCTGACAGATTTGCTAAGAGAATTTGTTATACATCGCGCGTGCGATGGTCAAGATGCTTTACGAGTTTTAAAAAAGCTCAAAAAATTACCTGATTTAATCCTTAGCGGTAAGTTATTATTTAAATATATGTTGTTAGTATACTCAATTATTAAAAATAATATAATTTGAATTTAATAGATGTTATGATGCCAAATATGAATGGTTACGAGTTATTAGATGTATTAAGAACTAATGTAAAAACTCAGTTAATTCCTGTAATATTATTATCTGCAAAAGCTGGTGAAGATTCTAAAATTAAAGGTAATTTACTATAACTATTACATTAACTTATTAAATTATTAATAGGTTATTCTACGTGCATTTTCATCACTTGCTTCTTCTTTTTGTATGTACTTTTAGGTCTTGATAAAGGAGCAGATGACTATTTAATAAAACCATTTTCTGCTCGAGAATTAATTATCCGTATTCGCACTAATATTAAGCTCTCAATTTTTCGTCGCAAAATATTATTTCAACAATATAAACAAGAAGAAACAAAACAATTACTACTTTCTATATCGAATAAGATTCATTCCAAGTCAAATCTAGATGAAACGTTACAATGTGTTATTAAAGAAATCTATCATATATTACCATGTGAAAGAATATTTATTATTTCAAATGAACGGTCTGATTCTAGCAATAATAAAATAGTTGTTTCATATGAGGGCTCTAAAAGTATAACACCGAAAATTAATCCATTCATGGAAATGAGTGATTATAATAAAGATGAATCACAAACATTTATCCGTCTCGCACCACGTGATTATTGTATCACACTACCCATTGTTCAACAACGGGTCGAAACATCTAGTAATATATAAATATATACTTAGAGGCTCCACAGGAGTCTCATTTACTCTTATAATACTATATTTTAATATTATATCTACATATAGCTAATAATCTTGCTAAAATTATATAACAAAATCTTGAAAAACTAATAATAGTTTATATTTAAATTGGACAAATATATAAATATGCACTACTTAATAACTTAAAAACAAGTTAATTTTGTTTTTTTTTTGCAATGACTGTTAAATAGCCAGGTTTTGAAACTTGCTAATCAATGTACTCTAAAATACAAATAAGCCATAGAAATTAATTAAAGAATGTATGCCGATATTTTAAAATATAAATAATTACCTTTATATAATCATCATCCTACAAATAATATTTAATTAGCATATTAAAAATACTTACTATTTAATCGAACTTGAAATCAAAACTTACCACAGATAAAATACACTTGTTATTAGTAGCATTAGTTGTTCTACTCTCAGAATCATCAGGATTACACTCGAACGTACTTTCTTGATTTGCACATTCCGTCTTAAGATTATAATCATCTACTTGTTTTATAATATTTACATTATTGTTTATGTAACGACTCTTATTATTTTTGTTAAACGTATCGTTTTTTTCCATAAATATAAATTGATTAATTAACTTTTTAAATGTAATTGGAGTATAAAGAATGGATGTTGCTCCTCCAATTTTCTCTATTATTTTTTTTGCTAATCTATTTCCTTCATCATTCGGAAATACTATAAAAACTATTACTAAATTATTATTATACATTTCTAATTCTTTTAATTTTAATGCCACTTTCAAGACTTCTTCATTATCTTCATAAAGGTTAATAAATGCTATATCATAAGCAAAAGTTTTAAACAATTCTTTATATTTTTTTGCTTCTCTAATGCCTTTGTCCAAGGTATCAAATGCATCAACTGTTTTAATCTTTTTAAGATATTTCAGCATCATATTTCTAACATTTTCAATCGGATGAATTATTAATATTCGTTTCTGTCTTATAGTATAACACAATTGTTCATTAAATTGTGTTTCTAAAAACGAAGTTATTGATAATGATTCGACATTCCATGTAAACCAAAATTTACTCCCTTTTCCTAATTGACTTTCTACTTTAATTTCTCCTCCGTTAATTTCTACTAAACTTTTACAAATTGAAAGTCCAAGTCCTGTACCATCTTGTTTCTTGGTCACTGACATATCACCTTGTGAAAAGCTTTCCCAAGCATGTTGTACATATTTTGGATCCATACTATTATTAAATAAAATTACTAGATATTCAAATAACATATATTTGCTAAAATAAAAAAATATATAATAATAAGTACGTAGCTTACCCAATTCCTGTATCGTATAATTCAATCAACAGACTTCCTTTTTTAACAATTTTATTATAGGTTTGATTTTCTTCATTTTCGTCGGTTTCGGGTGATTGCATTGAAATTGTTAGTAGGATTTCACCGTTATCTGTAAATTTAACTCTAAAAATATATATACATATATTTAACACTGTATATACGTAATAAGTTATGAAAAATAAAATAAATAAATATGTAAAAATAGTTACGTACGAATTTGATAATAAATGAGATAAAACTTGTTTTAGCCTATTCAAATAGATAATTTAGGTATTAAATTCTTGATTTTTAACGTGCTTAATATAAAATATATATCAGTTCAATTACTGTACGTACCTATCAGGATCACTCTTAACATATATTGGTAACTGATCTACATCGTAATTTACAATTAGTTCAATCTTTTTATCTCCGGCTTTCTTTCCAAATTCTTCAATTATGCTCTCAAATAATTCTAATAAATCAAATGTTCGATTTATTAGAGTAATTTTATGAGCTTCTAATTTTGCTGCATCAAGTATATCATTTATTATAGATAATACGATATCAGAAGCATGTGCCATGACATTAATCATATTCCTTTGATCAGCTGTTAAGGAAGTACTCTCAAAGGAAGAAAGAATTCCCACTATTGCACCTAATGGTGTTCGTAATTCTATGATAAAAATGATAAAAAAAAAAGATTAATT